GATCAAGTTGGTTGATTTTGTTGTTTAGCTTTTCTGCATCTTTGTTGAGTTGCTTTCCAGTTGTTCTATCTTTGATTGAAAGTGGTGTATTAAAATCTCCCACTATGACTGTGGAGTCATATATTTGGCTTTTCAGCTCTTTTAAAGTGTGATTTATGTATTTTGGGGCTCTTTCATTGGGTCCATAGATCCTTATTATGGTTATATTTTCATGTTCAATTTTTCCTTTAATTATTATATAATGTCCTTCTTTGTCTCATATGGTGGTTTTTATCTAAATGTCAATTTGATCAGAAAGTAATATCATTACACCTGCTCTTTTATGGTTGCCATTTGCTTGATAAATCTTTTTCCTACCTTTGATGTTTAGTCTGTTTTTGTCTTTGTCTCCAAGGTGTGTCTCTTGTAGACAGCATATTGATGGATTTTGTTTTCTTATCCAATCTGCAACTCTCCGTCTCTTGAGTGGTGCACTTAATCCAGTAACAATCAGTGTAATTATTGACTAGTATGAATTGTTTGCTAGTTGCTGTCATTTTGTTATGTGTTTTTTCATGGTGTCCATGGTTTCTTTGTTCCATATTGTTTTCTGTACTGAGCTCATTATGTTTATGAATCGTGTTATCATTTGCTTTGTTGCTGTTGTTTTAGTATTTGCTGAATATTTATACTTGTCCTCTTTGTTATTGTGATGTACAGGTTTATCATTTTTTTTGAGGTTACCTTGTGATTTATAATTTTCTCCCTAAGTTTGGAATAGTCCATTCTATCTTGCAACTCTCTTGACTTCCTCATCATTTAGAAGTTCTGGAACTACACAGTCTTTATCCTCTTCTTGGTTTGTAGTTGTCCTCATTGGCCAATTGAAGTCTCTGGTCCCTGTTTAGAATCTTGTAAGCTTATTTTACTTTGGATTTTTCCATAGCTATAGTTTCTAGGTTATGTCATCTTGTGTATTAATGGTCGGTTGTTGTTGGGTATTTTTGGTTCTCTGTTCAAAGGACTCCCTTTAGTATCTTTTGTAAGGTTGGTCTGGTTTTAACAAATTCCTTTAGTTTCTGCTTATCTGGAAATTTCCTAATTTCACCATCATATATGAGGGACAGTTTTGCTGGATACATAATTCTTGGTTGAAAATTTTTCTCTTTCAGGGTTTTGTATATACCATCCCATTGCTTTCTCACTTGCATGGTTTCTGCTGAGAAATCAGAGCTTATTCTTACTGGTTGTCCTTTGTGAGCAACTTTTAGTTTTTCCCGTGGTGCTTTCAGGATTCTGTCTTTGTCTTTGGTTTTTATGAGTTTGATGATGATGTGTCTTGGTGATTTTCTTTTGGGTTCTATCCTCTTTGGGGCTTGTTGGACTTTCTGAATGGATATATTCTCCTCTTTCATCATATCAGGGAAGTTCTTCTCCAACAAATCTTGGACAGTTTTCTAAGTGGTTTTGTTTTTCTCTTCCTGTTGTAGAATTCCGATCATATGTAGGTTATTCCTTTTGATGGTATCCCACATGAACCTTAGGCTTTCTTCATTTTGTTTTGATCTTTTTTCTGATTGATCCCTTTCCACAGAGGTATTCAGGTATTTGTCTTCAGTCTCTTTAATTCTGTCTTCCATTGCATCAATTCTGCTCCTTTGCCCTTTCAATGTTTTAACGATTTCTGACAATTTAGTATTAATCTTCTGGATTTCTATCTGTAGATTTAGAATCATTTCCAATTATTCATTTATTTTGTCATTTTGTTTTTGTATTTTCTTCCAAAATTCATCTAGGGTTTTGTCTGTGTTTTCCTTGACCTGTCTCTCAATCCTTTGAAGAAACCTAAATATAATTCTTTTGAATTCCTTATCAGAGAGTTCCAGTGCTGCTTTTTTCTCAGGGATGTGTTCTTGGTCTGTACCTTGCTCCCTTGTTTCTACCACTTTATCTTGCTTCTTTGTGTGGACTGTGATGGTCTGTTGTCTCTGAGACATTGTGGTGTTGTTGTATTCAGATCTCTCTTAACTGTTGTGAAGAGCAGCCAAGGGTGATTCAGGCTCTTCTTGGTGATTGTTTATCATTGGCCCATTGGTGGTGAAGGAAGTGGTGGTTCTCACTTAGTAAGTGAAGCTGCAGGAGGTGTGGGCATAGTTGTGTCTTATGGGGATTGTTGGTGTCTTCCACTCAGTTAGACAAAAAAATAACAATTGAATAACCATCAAAAAAGTAAAAGCACATGGACAAAAAATACACTGTGTAATCACACAGTGACAGTAACCAATTAAAGATAAAAGGGAAAAAGAAGAAAAAAAAAAAA